GTGTGCCTATGTGTATCTGTGTGTATGTATGTGTGTGTGCCTATGTGTGTCTGTGTGTGGGTCTTGTGTGAGTGTGTTTGTCTCTGTGTGTGTGTGTGCCTGCAGTGTGTGTGTCTGTGTGTGTGAGTGCCTTGTATGGGTGTGTTTGTCTCTGTGTGTGTGTCTGTGTATGTGCCTATGTGTGTCTGTGTGCCTGTGTGTATGTGCATCTGTGTGTGTATGTGTCTTGTGTGGGTGTGTTTGTCTCTCTGTGTGTGTCTGTGTGCCTGTGTGCCTGTGTGTGTGTGTATCTGTGTGTCTGTGTACTTGTGTGTGTGTCTGTGTGTATGCCTATGTGTGTCTGTGTGTGTGTTTCTGTCTGTATGTGTGTGTCTGTGTGTGTGTGTCTTGTGTGTGTGTGTTTGTCTCTCTGTGTGTGTCTGTGTGTGTGTCTGTCTGTATGTGTGTGTGTCTGTGTGTGTGTGTCTTGTGTGTGTGTGTTTGTCTCTCTGTGTGTGTCTGTGTGTGTGTCTGTCTGTATGTGTGTGTCTGTATGTGTGTGTCTGTGTGTGTGTGTCTTGTGTGTGTGTGTCTGTCTCTCTGTGTGTGTCTGTGTGTGTGTCTGTCTGTATGTGTGTGTCTGTATGTGTGTGTCTGTATGTGTGTGTCTTGTGTGGGTGTGTCTGTCTCTCTGTGTGTGTCTGTGTGCCTGTGTGTATCTGTGTGTGTGCCTATGTGTGTCTGTGTGCCTGTGTGTGTGTATCTGTGTGTCTGTGTACCTGTGTGTGTGTGTGTATGCCTATGTGTGTCTGTGTGCTTGTGTGTGTCTGTATATGTGTGTGTCTTGTATGGGTGTGTTTGTCTCTGTGTATGTATGTCTTTGTGTGTGTTTATCTCTGTGTGTCCATCTCTGTGTGTGTCTCTCTGTGTCTGTGTGTGTGCCTATGTGCTTCTGTGTGTGTGTGTGTATGTGTGTATGTGTGTGTGCCTATGTGTGCCTGTGTGTGTGTATGTGTGTGTGTGTGTGTATGTGTGTGTGGGTGTTTCTGACACAGGACAGGTAAAGGCTCTCCTTAAGCTTAGTTGTACCTAAACTTCACACTGAACTACAACCAACTATCTGGGTTTCCAGCACCTTCAGCCAAGGCTAGGCCTTATCTTGCCATCTATACTGTTCCCAGAGTATCAAAGCAGGCAGCAAAAGCAAGTGAGGGCAGATGCTTGACAAAATGTGAAATCATGTACCACCTCTATCCAAAACCTGCAATGAATGCTGTCCATTTTGTGAAACATCAGTTCAGTGACAAGCTTCTACCTTGGAAAGGAAGGGGTTCCATATCTGTCTAGGACAGGACAGGACCCCTAGGGATTCTCTCAGTGGGTCCCACCAGCACCTGGAGACCCCAGTCCTAAACCAGTCACCTCCACTCCTATGGCAGCAACCTGAGCTTCAGATGGGCCCACAGAGTCAGGAAGTGTGTGCTCCCCCTCCCCCAAAAAAACTGTAACTAGAGAAGAAAGCCCACAGGCCAACCCTCCTTCCCCCATGGAAACCAGCCTTTAAATTGTCCTCCATCGTTCTGCAGATGGCACCTGTTGTCTTCCGGTTTAGCGATCCTGAAGGTAGCCAACCTAGATCACAGGTGTTAGACTGGAAAAACCAAGTGTAATGGCAATCCCATCTCTGGTACATTGTGCAAAGAGGCTGACTGTGGGGCAGTTTTAGCTTGAACCTCCCCCTGTGGAAGGTGATAAGTTTATACCAGTGACATATTATTCGAGCTCCAAGACCTGAGCCCCAAGCAGAGATACTTCTAAAAGACCTCCTATGCCCATGCAGAGCCCCCACCCCAGCACCACCTGCTTCTCCCACCTGGGGAGGGGATGCTTCAACCGTACAGCCAATCTGGTCAGTGGTCTATAAGCAAGGGTGCCTCACCCAAGGTGAAAACCAACCAGTAAAGCCCCTTTAAGGAGAACTACAAGTGGCAGCAACCTGAAAGCCACTGGAAAGAATTGGCACCATTCTGAGTAAGAGGGCAGTTGTTATGCACAGGACTCCCCAGAGAGCTAAGACCAGAGTCAAAATGGCCTCCAGCGTCTTTCAGAGAGGCATAGTCACAGATTCAAAATGAAGCGTAATTATATGCATTTTGAAAATCCATTTCACAGAGTAATCTGGTAACTGTGTCTAAGAGGCAACGTTTATTAGCCAGTTCCAGGACTCCTGCCATAACCACAGAGTCTTGGGTGCGAAGCTGATGTGCAGGCACACCAGAAATCACCCAGACTTAGGTGGGGGAGAACAGCTATGAACGTGAAGCTCGTTTTTGCTGAAATCACTGCCCAGTAGAAGAAGATTCCTCTGAGGGCATGGCTTGGGGCTGACTTTTATCCTGAGCATAAAAGCACTTTCATTTACATTTTTTTTTAGTAAAACAAACAAGCAAAAGTAACTGTGAGGGTGCCTTGTTTCCTACAGACGCTGGGGCTTCTGCTGAGCCGCTTCTCAGACCAGACAGCAAGAGGCTCAGTCAGACAAAAGCAAGAGCATGGATTCAGCACCTACTAAGCGCTGCAATGTACAGAGCTGTGATGGGGATCCTTTATGCCCATAACCTACAAGGAAAGGACACTTGCCAATGGTTATTATGTAATAGCCTTTCTACAGGTGGGGAAACTGAGGCTGGAGGTCAGAAAATGGCATCAGTGTAGTCTTACGGTGTGGCAGGCTCCAGATTCCACTTTTCCCACTCAAGCACAGCTGCCTTAGGACATGTGTTCATGGTGTGTGTGCACATATGCATGTGTATGTGTGTGCATGTAGGCAGGTGTGTACGAGTGCATGCCCATACATATGTGGATGCATGTGGGTACATGTGCATATGAGTGTGTGTCTGGAAATATATCTGCCTGCATATGTGTATATGTGAATTCAAGTAAGGATGTATGTATATGGACATGTGTATGTGTGCTCATGTATGCATGTGTGCATGTGTACATATATGTATGTATGTGTGTGCATATATGTACATGTATGTGAGAGTATTGTGTGTTTATGTGTGTCTGTCTGCATATATGTAAATGTATTGTGCATGCATATGAATATGCATGAGAGTGTGGATATGTATAAGTATGTGCATGTATGTGAGTATATACATGTATGCATATGATTATGTGTGAGAGTGTAGATGTATGCATGCATGTCCAAGTGTATGTGTGTGTGTCCAATATTTTCCCCAAATCAGGAAATGAGAAAAATCAACATATTTCTCTTTCTCAGTGGTCCTGATCCTGTACTTATGAGAGCCCCCTTGTCAGGGGGCTAAGACAACAGTTGCTTTTAGCTCCTCTTCCATTGATGCCATTTCCTTTGGGGTTTCAAATATTAGAAGCTTATTGCCAGAACCGCCAATCATATCAATAAACGAAGCATACCCCAATGAGAGCTTCCTCAACCCCAATTATTTCACCATGATTATGAGGATTTTTAACCCTCACTGTGTCACCCACATCTGGGGACTAGTCAACAGTTTTTCTGTGCTGGTTTTACTACAGGGAACCAGGCTGAAAAGCAAAAGCCCCTGGTTCAGAGCTAGATCACAAAAGGTACTTTTAGGGGACCAGGAGATTTCTCCCCTCTGTCTGTGTCACAGGCATATTCTTGCCTTCCAGCAAATATGCCTGCCACTAGAACCAATGACTTGCACATCTGTATGCCACCACCACAGTTCAAAGAGAAGTGACACTGGTCTCTTCTCCCACCTGAATGGGGCTGGGGGCTTTGGGACCATCAGGGGCAAAGCTGGTTATGTGGACAACAGAAGGGTGACTTTCTTCCTCCAAATATAAAAACCTGTGCCGATTTTCAAGCAAGAAGAAAAGACAGGCTGTCCTGGGCTGGTGTGTATGACACCCTGAAATCCTGCGATCCTGTGTCCTTTTTTTTTCCCCCTTCCCCTCCAGCATCACAGAGCTTTTCAGGGAGGGGAAAAAAAAGTACCGTGGGAAAATTGGGGGAAGGTCCAGGAAAAAAAGATGGGTTCTCGTCAGCCGTGACTCAAAGAGACCACCTTTGAGTCAGTATTCTGGCCCCCACAGGTCCTATGACATGACCCTGGGCATTCTGCCATGACAGGGCAAGTGGCCAGCCAGAGACACCATTCTGTCTCCTGCCAAAATGACAACTACCACATCCCTGGGATGAAGTGTGGCACTCAGATTCCCACGGTTGCAAATCTAGAGTGGTCCTCCAGCTCCCAGCTTCAGTGGGGTACAGCCCTAAGGATCCACCAGAGACTGCTCTGTGGACAGTGACCTGAGCATGGGAATCTATAGGCAACCCCATCTTGTACCACACAGACTTTTTTCCGAGAGTGAGTTAAACTCCCCGTTTTCAAACCACATCCAGACTCCTTTGGTCCACACTCACCGTCCACGGGGGCAAACAAGCACTGTCCTACTCAACCCACCAGGACCGCATTGCAGGTCACCTGCGGCCAAGGCCAACCCACGCCAATGGAAAAAGAGAAAACTCTTCTCCTGGGTCCTAACACACTCCACAACTCAAAGGAAGGTAAATGGGTACTGAAATCTTGGCTCCCGATATAGCCCATAAGCAGCCCCATCCCAAATTCTGTCCCAAATTCTCCAAAAGGCAGTAAGTGTAAGTCTTGGAACGCACTCAGGAAGCGCAGCCCGCACAGGGGCGTTGAGGTGGGTGGGTGTCAGCTATGGGATTATTCTTAGCGCTCCCCTCTTCGCAAAAGTGGTACCTCCACCCTCAAGACAGCAACACTCTATCTCTGGGAGTTCACAAGCCTGGCCCAGACACCAGAGAAGTGTGGGACACAGGATAGGATGCCCTGGAGGAGTGAAATCATCCCCTAAGGGGTGAGACACAGAAACATAGAGCTTTCTTGATCCTGGGAGCCCCACACCCAGCCTTGCAGTGCCCACCACCTCCCCAGGACTCCTCCCGCGTCCCCCAGAAGCCTGGTGGCGGCACGCCCACCCTTTACCTATAGTTGTGATGACGGTGATGGCAAAGTAGAAGGAACCGGCAAATTTCCACTGGACACCAGCGCGATGGGGCTCAGACTGCAGGATCACCAGCTCCAGCTGCTGGTAGTCATCGGAGCTGATGTTGTACTTGCCTCTGATGCGGACCTCTTCAGCTTTAAGTTTCTCTTCCTCGCGCATCTCATGGTCAGACTCGAGGGCATCGAACACCGCGGCACCCACCAGCAGGTAGGTGAAGGTACAGGCAATCAGGGAGAGGGTACGCACGTTCTGCCGCTTCATAGCTGCGAAGAAGGAGCTGCCAAAGGGGAAAAAACCACCGCGCGCATCCCAATGCAGTGCCGCGCGGACGAATCCTCCCCTGCGATGGAGTCGAAGTTGTAAGCGGTGGTAACAGCAGATACCGCAGCTGATGGTGGAAACGGAGTCATCTTGGGGTTCCTCACTGTCCCGAACTTCAACATCTCCAGGCTGAGGAGCATTCTCGGGTGCCTCGGGCTCCCCGGATTCAATGTCCACAGCGGACTCCCTAATCTCTGCGGGTTGCGCAGGCACAGCGGACGCCCCGGGCTCAGCGGACGCCCCGGGCTCGGCAGGCTCGGAGGACTCTGTGGGCGCAGCGGGTTCCGCGGGCGCAGCGGGTTCCGCGGGCGCAGCGGGTTCCGCGGGCGCAGCGGGTTCCGCGGGCGCAGCGGGTTCCGCTGGGGCAGCGGGTTCCGCGGGCGCAGCGGGTTCCGCTGGGGCAGCGGGTTCCGCGGGCGCAGTGGGTTCCGCTGGGGCAGCGGGTGCCGCGGGGGCAGCGGGTGCCGCGGGGGCAGCGGGTTCTACGATCACAACGGGTTCTACAGTCACAACGGACTCTGCGGGCGTAGCAGGCGATTCCGCGAACTCAACGGGGTCCGCGGGCGTAGTGACCACCACTGGGATAGGCAAGAGGGTAGGCATGTTTATGGCATCGCTAGCGCGCGGAGGCCAGTGATCCTGGACCCGGGACATCCTACGCCAGGCCTGGGTCAAGCGGCTTGCCCCAGCGCGGATGGCCGTGCGGATGGATGGCCCACGCTCGTTCCGCGAGGGCTGCGTGGTCCTCGGCCCCTGGCCCCTCGAGCCCGCTGGCTGGGCTGGGGCAGGATCAGAAGCCGGGACAGAGGGCGACCCGGGGAGAGGTTGTGCATCTCTCTGGATGCGTTCCCCGGCTAGCGGGGCCCAGCTAATGGCCTCCAGGGTGGCGGTTGCCCCGTGGGGACCAACTTCTCCCTCTAGCTTTCCTCACCCCCTTGGGTTGGGGGAACAGAAAAGTTTGCTAAATGAAAATGTCTCTAGAATCCCCTGCAAGCAGGGGGAGAGTCTATCTAGCAGGTGCAACGGGCGAGGCAGCCCGACGCCCCAAAGTCCGAACGCCCTGTGCCCACCTGGGCGCGCGGGGCACGCGGGGTGCCCGCCGCGCGACAGCCGGTCTGCGAAGTTTGTTCCACTCAGCCTGCGAAGCTCAGGAACAGGGCGAAGCCCAAGACAAGAGCTGCGACGGAGCTACCTCGGGGGCGACGTGGAAACTGCGTGGCGGCGGCGGCTGGCCGGCCAGCTCCTCCCGGGGCGGCAGGCAAGGTGGCAGCGGCAGCTGGGAGTGGTCCTGCGGGTCTAGAGGAACTGAAGGGTAGGGATAAGGACAGGCAAAGGAGCACCAGCCACGGGAGGATCCCGAGACTCTGGCGTCCAGGAGTCCAGAGAGGCAACCGCCGCTCTGGTCTGCCTGAGGCGCTGTGCGTGCGCGCCGGAGGGAGCCGGAGTGTATGTATTCGCGGGTGTGCGTGCGCGCGTGTTTGCGTTTGACGGCCCCGCTCCGGCGGGAGGGAGGGGGGAGCAGGCTACTCCGAGGACTGGCTTCCCTCCCTCCTCTGTTCTCTTCTCTTCTCTCCCCTCCTCCCTCCCTCCCTCCTTCCTCACTCCTGCAGCCTCTGGGTCGCTCCACCTCCCGCCTGGTCCCCAGCCAGCTGGCCTGGCAGCTCCTGCAGCAGACCTAGTGCTGCACAGGGTGCTCGCTATGGAGTCCAGGAGAGGTGACCAGAGGCGGGTGGGAGGAGGGGGTCCAGGGGGGGTGTAGAACTGGGTGCCGCCAGGGTGCAGGTATAGGAACCCAGCCGTTAGTGGATTTTAGCTGGGATGGATGGATAAACACGAATGCTTGGGTTCCTTCTAGCACCGCTCCCCTAAGAGCTCACACAGCCTTGGCAAAGTGAAGAGTTTGAAAAACCCGCAACTGAAGAATGAGGAACGAATTCGGCCAGTGAGGCAGATTGGGATGTTAAACGAGAAAATGAGAGAGTGGGGAATAGAAGGGGAAGGGGCTATGAGCACTTGGGAGTGCAGCAGCAGTGGTCTCGCAGTCCCCACACCCCGTTAACACACGCATGAACACACACACACACACACACACACACACACACACACACACACTTTCTGCTGCAGCAGCCACATAGCACAGCAGCACCCTACTGACTCCTAGAGTGTTGAGTTTGACATTCTCCTCAGTCCCAATTGTGGGATGCTGGATGCATCTCCGGTGGTCCTGCACCTGCTGACGCCAGCTACTTTTCCCTAGAGCTCTGGCAAATAGTGCAGACCGGCACTCTTAGAGTCGCACACACCTCTCAAAAGGAAGGACGGGAATTCGCATTCACTCGGCCAGTAACCGCCCTATTTCTAATCACTTCTTGTTTCCGTGGTAGAAGACAGCATCCCTCCAGCGAACACCCGGACGATTCAGCCTCTAAGTTCAGGCTTGGGGATGCGACTGGAGGATCCCAAGAATTAGCTAGTCTTAGCAAACAAGAAAATAGTCCAGATTTCTCTGTTTAGACCTTCCGGATCCCCCACCCATCCATCTCACTTTAGGTTGCCCAGAGGTTTTCTTGCTTACAAAGTGCCCGTAAAGCAGTGATGTTGCAAACGGGCACGTAAAACCAATTTCTTGAGACCACGGGGACTTGCTTTCCTCAGCTAGGCTATCTTCTCTAGCCAAGGAAGAGATGTAGATGGAGGAATCCGGTGACACCCCCCCCCCCCCCTTCCAGGCAATAGCTAAGAGACCAGAGCTAGAAGCTGGAGCCTGTGAATCAGACCCAGTTGTTGAATTCGAGGTTATAGAAGCCCCATGTTCTTCAGACTCCGGACCATAGCCCATCCTCTGTCTACCCAAACTCAGCCCGATGGGTTCGGGGCCTCATGTAGGCTCCCAGGTAAAAAGCTTTTCACCCAAATTCAAAGACTTGTGGGTGCGCCACAGAGCAGGGGTGTCTCCATGAGGTCTTCGGGTACCCAAATGGGAACCACACCAGAGCAGGTGCGCTCTCCAAAATTCATTTTAGAATCCGAGTATGTGTGTCCCCCCCCACCCCCGTGCTTAGCAAGTGAGCGTGGCTGAGGGGTGAGTCACCCCAAATGAGCGACAAGGATTCCCAGCAGCTGGTAATTAATTGAGCTGTGGATCAACCCACGACGGGATCAGGCCTTCCCTTCCGCAGCTCTGGCAGCGCTGGCACCCTGAGTCACCGCCGTCGGGCCTCCTAGAGGTCCAAAGGGTTGTGGATCTTGGTGCCACCAGGGGGCGCTGGACTCCGACCCAAAGATCTGCCCACTTTGGAGCCAAACTGTAGTGAAGTTCAAGCTGTCCCCAAAGGCGAATGTAGGAGCAGGGGTGGGGGCTGGAGGATGGGCTGAGCTCTGAGGACCGGATTGCAGGCTTTGTGCGGAGACACTTTGATTCGGTTTAGGGAGCTTCGGTTACTTGCAATCCTTCGGAAAAATGGAAGGGAACTTAAATTTGAAATTACCCCCGACCCCCTTGTTCTTCTGCAGTCCCAAGTTCCCCATCCACACCCCACAACCCAGTCCTTGAACATTTCTTGACTGCCGGTGGAACTGGAGCTCCTTGGAGGAGAGTTTGACTATTCTGTCTACACTACCCATTCTCAAGAAAGACTCTCAGAATAGTGGAGAATGCCTGAACTGGCCTTCCCCTATAATCAGATTGGCGATTACCCCAACTGTCATCATAAAGCCAGATGCAGAGATCCACAACCAAGTACCGGGCAGAGCACTGGGAATCCAGCTGAAGAGAAGGAAGAAGGAATATATGTACAAGGGAGGTCAAGATCCTAACAGGGAAATCTACAGAGACAGCTAAACCAAGCTCATGGGAACTCAGGAACTCTGGACCGGCAGCTGTCGAGTCTCCATAGGACACACTCCCTCTGCATGTGGGAGACAGTTTGGAAGCCTGGGCTATCTGAGGGGGCCCAGGCAGTAGGTTCCATCCCTGGTGCACGAGCTAGCTTTTTGGAACCTGTTCCCTATGGTGGGATGCCATGTTCAGCCTTGATTGCATGGGGAGGGGCTTGGTCCTGCCTCAACTTAATGTACCATGCTTTGTCAAATTCCCACCTTACCCTTTGGAAGGAATAGATGGAGAGGTAAGCTTGGATGGGGGGGGGGGGGCAAGAGGAGGTGGGGAACTGTGGTTGGGATGTAAAATGAAATTTAAAAAATCAATGTTGAGAGAGAAAGAGAGAGAGATGCTCAGCTACCACTACAGCTTGTGTCCAAAGAGCGTCCCAACTCCCAGGGTTGGGTGCTGAGCCCAGGGATTTTTTTTTAATGCTGGAAAATTATCATTTGGATGATTGCCAATTAAGCTCAGAAATTCTTCCTGTCATTGTGTGGTGTGGGCCCACCTGTCCACGTTTGAGTCAGTGACAACGCTCCTCCCTGGGCAGGGCTACAGATTGATAGGTGTAACCCTGGAGCTTCTGGACTAGACATGGGCATGACTAAGCAGTTCAGGGAAGAACTGAGGCATAGAGGGAGGGAGAGGCTTTGAGGATGTCAATGCAGGGCACAGCTATGACCTGTGAGTGGCGCATGGACTCTCCAAGCCCCCTCAGGAGTCAGTCCCTACACCTCTCCAAGCCCCCTCAGGAGTCAGTCCCTACACCTTGCATTTTGATTCTTTAATAAAGACAGATGCATCTTATTAGCTAATAAAACACATCGTGATTTTATAACTCGGGCCAGCCACTTGTTTTCTGTTGTGTTCTGTACACACAGTGGGCATGTCTGCAGCCCTTCAATTCACAGAGACAGGCCAGTGACTTGGCATATCTCAGCCCCGCAATGAGTAAGAAAGCCAGGGCTTCTTTGCATCCCTACAGTGGGTCTGCCCACAGCGGCTGCGGCTGCAGGAACGGAAGGGGTGGCAGGGTACGGTGCTCTATGCCAACTATTCCAGCTGATGCCACCTGCTAGCCTAGGAGGAAGTCAGAGATGTCAGTGGCTCCCTGGACACCTGAGTCCTTGGCAGTATAAAATGCTTTGTCACCATCCTACCTCCATCTTTGAATGTGGGCAGAGAGTTTTCTCCATGGGTGAGGGTAAGTTTTCTCACAGCCCAGCTTTGAAGGAAGAGCAGTGTGGCGTCTTCCCAGTGTGGAGCCCTGTGATGGTTAATATTGACTGTCAACTTGATAGAATCTAGACTGCACTAGCCTTTGGGCACACGTGTAAGAGGTTTCCTAGGCTACATTAGTTGATATGGGAAGACCCACCTTAGTTGTGAGCAGCAGCACTCTTTGAACTGGAGTCCTGGGCTGACTAAAGGGGCAATGACTGAGCATTAGCAGTTGTCCCTGCTGGGCTATGCCTAGATGCCTCAAGCTTCTGCCACTATACTGTCCTTGTGATAACTATCTACCCTAGGACTGTGAACCAAAGTAAGCCTCAAGTTGCTTTTCTACCAACAGGCAAAGTAACCAAGCCCCAAGAGCAGGATCCCCTCCATCCTTTGGCAAACTCCAAAGACATACAATTTGCACAGTTAGTAGTTTATCTTCACTTCAGCCTTCCATCAGTGTCAGGTTCCAGAGAAAACCACCCCCAGTGTGAGGCAGAAAGCCTGCCCAGACTCCTCTTGGTATATGAGCTATTGTGTTTTGTAGCCACACTGTTTCACCCCCACTGGGTTAAAGAGTAGAACATGGGTCTT